ACTATCATTCGTCAATGGAGCGCATATTTGTATTGCATGCTATCACAGAAGCTGGTTTTTGAATTTGTTTATTAGTTTTTCAGTGTACTTTTCCAGTATTCATCATTTTTGCTTCATGTATTGTCGAAAGCATGGTGACTTCTCTCTTGTCAAACCATTTTACCACAAGTAAAATGTTTGTGTTTGGATAATCGTTGTCACCCTTTTGTAACGTATTAGTAAAGTCTGGCATGCCGAGGCGATTCTGTCGCACAGTACCACAGGCTCATGTTGCGTTTGCATGTAACTCTTCGAAAAGGATTGGACCTGAATACCAACTGTCCATGAATAAATTGTGACCTTTCCGAAGATACTACTGCATAAGAGTCATTACGATGGATCCTGGTATTCCAAGCTCTTTACTATGATGAATCTCTGTTGCAGATCCCATGTAAATCACGAAATCCAATATATATCCAGTGTGGCAATCGCACAAAACAAATAATTTAATTCCGAATCTGCTTCGTTTGGATGGAATGTATTGTTTAAAACTTAATCTCCCTTTTTAAAGTACCAAACCTTCATCAATACATAGATTCTGATATGAAACAAAAATACGTCGGAACTTTTGCTTCAAATCTTGCACGACAAGTTTTATCTTGTATGATCTGTCTCCTTCAGGTTGATATGTATTATCATTAAAATGCAGAGATTTCAAAAGTAGTAAGAATCTATCTCTAGGTATGATATCACCAAAAACTGGTGTTGCCATCAAGAGATCGGTTGACCAGTAATCGTTAATTCTGAACTTTTCCATATGCGCCATTAACATGAAGGTCGCCAGAAAAAGATACATTTCTTCAAAATCAGTTGGAATCCATTTTGCTTGATGTGATGATGACGATGTATGTTTATCAGATGAGTTTACTTGAAATTTGTTTGTCTCATCAACAGTAATGTGAATCAATTTTTGATCAAAAAATAACTTAAAGAAGTCCAACGGTGACTCTCCATTTAAGTCACAAGCGATTCCACAATCATCGTTTTGAAACTGGAATAGTTTTGGCTTGAAATTTGATTTTATCCATAATCTTGACGTGCAAGTTGAACTACGAGATGATGGAACATCTTCATCATCGAAAACTTCCGTAGGACTCTCGATATTAGGATCACTATATTCGCTAGTCTCCGATTCATCTACAGTTTCTGTATCTGGTTCACTATTTTCATCAGTGTCCGGTTCACTCTCGGTTTCTGCATCTGATTCACTTTGTGGCTCAGGAGTGGTGAAAATTTCGTTAAATTCAATTGTGTTTTTTTCTCTGACTGCTGTCATCCTGATCTTCAAAAGAAATAAAGAACAGCAAGAGCAGATATATATATATATTTGATGGATAGAATAAGAATATACTAGAAAAAAGAGAACTCGTAAGAAGATGACTAAGAAAATGTATGTGAAAAATCCGCAGTATGTATGTGTCACGTCTTCAAGCCGAATTCGACGTCGAGCAGAAATCACGATTCAGAAGAGCTGGTTTATTCACAAGTGAAAACTAAGTGACTGATTGGGAAAATGACAGTGACAGACAGAAAACACCGGTATATATAGTATGAAAATTACGCAAGAACATTACGCAAGTACACGTCATATGTCCGAGTAGAGTGCATAGAAAGTTCTAGAAGGTACATGCAATACTGAACAATAGATAGATAGATAGAGATGGTCACGTGGACAGACGCGTAACCGCTTAGTCACTACATCACAGTATGGTTAATCGATAGTGATATAATAGAAGTAAGGGATCTAAGTGCAGAAAGAAACAAGGTGAATGAGGACACAACACAAACGGTTATATCACCATGCATCGAAAGTAATAAATTCATGATCTGTATCGTATTTTCTGCCATGAGAACATCGTTAGAGATTTGCTTAGGTCAGGTACTGATGAAATCAGAATCGAAGCACATATATGTGCTTCCTGTCCCCAGAGGGTTAAAAATGTTCATTTTCTTTTTCGTTTTTTATCGTCGTAGTTGAATGATTGAGTAGATGTAAATCTTTTTAACTAGGCGCCGACAAGAAAAACGTATTTGAAAACAAAGTAAATAGTTTTGTAGAGCTTGAAATTTTCTATCTTTTAATATAAATAAAAATGAATATATTTCCTGAGCAGGAAATGAACAAAAAAAAGCAAAACATTTAGTGCAATTTATTCTGGTCCACCTGTTAGTTTATTCAGATATCTGTGAACTAAGGAGGTACTATTCGTGTCGTGACTTGATACTGCCACACAAATGTCTTAGCTCAGCGAATCAATTCTGTTGTAAAGAAGACTAGTGGAGTTCTATATCTGCTCTGCCACTATCTGTACTGTTCCTTCTGTTATATGTAAAATGGATCGTTGCTTGTTCCGTAATAATACATGTGACCGTACTTTCTATGTAGCTACTCTCATAGGGCTACTGAGCCTTGTACAAACAGCAGACAGGCAGCGCATTCATTCTGCAATGGGAAAAGATGGAAATAATACAAAGCTTTACCAAAAAAAGAGATGTTTTATTCGGTTTATATCATGAAGACCTTAATAAGCTATCGATAAAACGAAAAAGGGTCGAATTATTAGGTTAATGCAGTCACCATACCGTATTGCCTCCTTCGGAAAGGCCAGCAAAACTGACATGAGTTTCGAATTTCGACTTGAAATTTAGCACAACAAAAGTCTCAATGATAATTGTTTATTTCGGGAAGAATACGTGTAGATTTGAAAAACAGATTCATAGAGATACCCGCATCTTACATAATTATTTTTTTTTCCATATTGAACCACTGAATCCTCCTGTATATGATGTTTTTCTTAATTCAGTGGCACTAATGATTTCTATTTTAATAGAACCATTGAAGCGATTTCGCCCAAATGGAACATCACACCATTGCGCATTTATCATCGAAGACTGAATCGTTCCATAAAGAACATTAGAAAATCCTGGAGTGTACCCAGATGGAACTTCGTGGATACCAAACCACCACACTGCATCACTCAATTGCCGGATATAATATAACCCGCCATCGCTGCATTTCCATGTACCAGTTAAATCGATACCATTTTCACTATTTTCCAAGGTTGTACCGTTTGCTGGAAACAAAAGCTTACAAATAATGTTATCACACAAAAAGGTATGGGTTTCTGAGTATAGTTAAATGTTCATGAAGTGGAGACTCGCATAAACTCCCACTGTCAATTTCTGTCTGGAAAACTGATGTTTTCTTATTCTTATGATTACACAGTAAGGCAACAGGATCACTTAGTTGATTTATAACGTTCGGTTCTGATTCAGATTGAAGGAATGTAAGATGACTCCTGGTGAAAATGACTCTGACACTTGGTAGTGTCTCTTGATGAATATCAGCTTAATTGCCCGTGAACATTTTAAGATTGCATCGAGGTCTACTGTTGTTATTATTGTTGAAACACAAATGAGTCTATTAGAACGCTTGTTGGAAGTGAAAAGTTCCAAGAAGCGAGCTAAAATGTGGCATTCTGAATCACAAAAATACAAACACAAACTTAACCAAACGGGTACACGAACACTTATGCGGTGCTAATTTATCTGTCCAGCTCTGGCTGGCCAGCATTCGTTTTCTGAGTCATAGAATCGGCGGATCTTTCATACGAACAGCGATCATTCATAATGACATTGTGAAATTAGTTACGGTGCAGATATGAAAATTCAACGTCCTGCAAAAACATGCGAGAATAGTAGCAAGCAATTTTATATGAATAACCAAAACCTTGTCGTCTTCACTTTACCGATCCTCGAGTAGTTTCAAGTAGAATGAGAGCTGTTGGAACAGAGCTTTGCTCGTATAAATGACTGCTTCATTGCATGCCAAATTAATATAATGAAATAAGTGTGGTAGAATGATCCTTTTCACACTCAAAATTTCGTTGCAATGTGTTCCATTTCGTTACGCGGATCATAATTACATAGCATTTTACTTTCAAACAATGGACGATAATTTCATAAAATTAATGTTTACTCTAGAGCAGGCAACATTTAGAAAAGTCTAGTATTTAATTGGAGCTTTGATCACAAGATAATCGTGGTGACAGATTCTTATGTTTGACTTTTGAAGCCTCTCGCACCCATCAATAAGTCATGCTATTTATAGCTAGAATGTTATCGATTAAATTGTTCGACGCATCTAATCAAGATCAGTTCTCTAGCATCGAGGTTCGAGCGCAATATAATCGAAACGCCTACCAAACAGTCTTATCATAAAACAATGCAAGCTGGGGTCTATGAAACCTACGTAAGATTCAGCGAGATATTACAAAATCCTGTCATACAAAAAAGTCTCTATGAACTCGTAAAATATCTGTATATCAAACTTCATAGAGTAAGTAACATATAGTGCTGCATTCGTACTTTTTTCATTAAACTCTATGGATTACTGTATGTTTCTTTAAGGTTTTATGATGATTTTTTAAGATTCATTATAGAATTTCTTATTTTACGACTCGATACGGTATTGTTTGAAAAATTGTGGCTTCGAAGTTTATCCTCTAACCAATACAAAATCACATAGTTGTCGCAGAATCTTGAACGAATGTTTTAAGATTCTATCATACAATTATTCGGTTTTGAAATACATTTTCATGTCGGTGCTTACTATCTTTGTGTATTCATCTATCATAGGAAATTTTTCTTACCTTCATATCCATAAAACGTTGAAAGTAAAAGAACCGTTTGGAAAACAATCCAATCATTAGAAAGAATCATTGCCATGAAAAATAGTGTTTATTTCTTTTGCAATATGTATTCGTAGTTTTCATTGATAACGCATATGATTTATATAGTATGTAAAACGAGCGACGAAATAAGTTTTCTTTTTCTCGTTAAATATGAATCATGAAAATGCACTTGAAACGACGTGATTTTTCAAGGGGGAAACATCAGACTCCGTGACTCCACGACTCCACTTGACTCCACTTGACTCCACTTGACTCCACTTGACTCCACACTGACTCCACTTGACTCCACACTGACTCCACTTGACTCCACAATGAATCCACATGAATCCGCTTGACTCCAGTTTTGTATGA